TTGTGTATGTCTATATAAATATATATAGGGTGGACTAAAAGTAACAGAACAAATAATTTTTTTTGATTTTTGATTTGTACATATTCAGTTAGATCTCATATTTTTACCATATTTACTAGGTGATATAATCCAAAGATGTAGGATATGATCAATATCTAGATGTAATAATTTCTTCAAAAATGTGCAGATATAGGATGGTCAAAAGTAAGGAAACAAGTCTCAGTTCTAACGAAACATTTATTAGCGAAATAGAACTAGAAAATAATACGCACAATAGCACATATTTGTAAAATCTTTTTAAAAGTGAGCTTTTTACAAAAATCGCTGAATGTATTCACCCTCTAAGTCTTTGCAAAGTTGCAATCGCTCAGGTACTGATTCACACGCTCGTCAACATAATTCCACTGCCAAGTTTCGTCTTATTTATACGCTTTTGAACAAGTTTCTACATCTAGATGCTAATCATATGGACTAAATTTTAATATTTTCATTTTTTCTCATTAAATATGAACGAACTTAATAAAAATAAAAAATTTTAAGTATGTGATAGAAAATCCTCAACAAAGCTATATATTTACTGTTTGTTGTGTTGTTTATGATTTTCAAGTCCGGTAGGATACTTGACTTTTTCTATTCTCTTGTAGGCAGGTGTAAGTATGAATATCGATGCGGATCAACATAAAAGCCGCACTTACATTCATATTCTGAAAGGTCTAGAACTGTCGTACAGAAATGAAGGGATTACTGACGCTACAGACTGCAAGGGAAAGAAGAAATCGATTCGAAAATGATTCAAAAGGATCTGTAGGCATTGAGTTTTTCCATTGGCTTGTATATAACACATTAAGATGCTATAGGATTTATTCTACCAGTAATCAATTTTGGACATCTTGTATGACTGTTCGGCTTATAAGAAATCAGATTTCTCAATGGAACTGATTTCATCAGTGATTGACTCTGATCCTTTGTAGCAATGTGCGGATGTGAAAGGTAGGAATATCCATATCCACATCCCGCAGCCAAACTCACACCCACATCCTCAAAATAATTTGTATAATCTTTTTATTGCAGATGACTGTGCGTTGAATTTCCAAATAAGCGGTTGCGTATAAGCAGAAGGATAAAAGGATCGAGATATAGTCGTAATAGGTAAGATTAGTGTTGAGTTCAAATCCACAGTACATGTCAATATAATCGAGTATGAGTCAATGTTTACAATTAGTTTGTCGAGCTGTATCTCTGCTGAAAACTTGGTTGGAAAAGATTGAGTTCACCTTAACTTTTAAACGTACTGGGACTGATGACACGTACTGTATAGAGAGGATGTGCTAAAGTCACTCAATAAAACTAAAATAATTCTCATACATTTCCTATACTGTATGTAAAGTACGGATGTGATGTTTTCGACGGTGGACGTCATTTTTGACATAGAACACTTTGATTCTCGTTGTAGTGATACCTTGTGTAACCAGTAATTCTTTTTTTGACATATTTTGATTTCTAATGAATTTCCAGCTGAGATCAGTTTTATCACAGGCGTAAAATTTTCATTTTAACTCGAAACTTTTCAAACATGGACCTCTTTTTCATACCACATAGTTTCCGTAAAAATGTCAGCTTTTTATGAATCTACCTGCAAATTACTATCGCCGTCTCTTCTACGTTTGGGGGGGAAACGTCTGCTTTTTAAAGACTTCTATTTTTTCTGTCCTCCATGAGTTTCTTTCCTTTCGTATCTTGTCTCTCATCGACTATCAGATTCCAATAAGAGTAACATATATTTATCTACTGCTTTTTTGAAATTGCTAATAATGAATTCTCTTTCATGCAGAAAAGTGTATTGTATGAGTCTTCTATCAATGTGCAATGTTTGGCGAAGTTAAATTTGACTTTGAAAGGTAATTTGATCACATATTGTTGCATATTTATCCTTTTCCCATGTTGATTTTGACAAAATAAAGTTATTCCATATACAATCAGTAATAAACATCGACATCAGATATCTTGACCTTGAAATTAATCTTGAATTAAAATGCAATGATTGTGTTCATTCCATTATTTGACTAAGATGCTCAGTATGTTTTTATTCTGTGAAAAATATAAAGACACTATAGTATATGATGCAATATTCAACATTAGGCTATAAAAACTACTATTACACTCTACAAATATCATCGCTATCTACTCATTACTACAATTATTCTCCACATTAAACTTCCACTAATGATGCTAGCTGGACGATTACTTCCGATAATTGCCTATGTTGTTCTTTATTGTTATGCATTTATCCGTCCAGCAATTGGAGGTTGCTGCACAGGATATCACAAAAAGATACATCAACACACACATCAGTGTACGGGACGCGCAGGCGGTTGTTGTGCGGACGATGTTGTCTATAATGATGCGCACGGTGGTAAAATTGGTATTAAATCGGCACGTGCAGTCAATAAGCAGTTGGACCAAGGTGTTTACTGTGATCATTGTTTCTTGAGTTACAAGAAAAACTGTTGAATAAGTCGACTATTGAACTACAATATTTTTGTCTGCGTGATTAATTGAAAAAAAGTAAATGGTTACAAAAGGTTGCTCAATATTTCAAAGAAGATTGCGATTAATAATCAAGTTGCTAACATTCCCAGAAAAATTTTATTGCATTCGTTGGATTTAGTTGTTTGTAAATGCAGTAGTGCACCATATTCCAGAATTTACTCAAATTAAAATTAATGCTACTATCTTTAATCCATTTCGATCTTTTGCATTGGAAAAAACTTGTATCCTTGGCTAGAGCATTTTGTACTCCATTTGAGCTCGTTTCTTCGAATATATGCAAGAGACATTTCGTGTATGAATCCTTTATCGCCCTATGTTCGCGTATCTTTTGTTTTCATACATTTGGTGTCAGCAGAACAACGAGTAAAATCGATTTTTTTGCACATAGAAAGGATGTTTTGTTTTACTGTCAATTTAAAGTACTAACCGTTGCCGATAAAAACTCTCGAATATTTGACTGAAAGGCTTCGTTTACTATTAAGATAGAAATACAAAAAAGAACGACTATGTGACATATTGATTGAAATAGTAGTTATTTATTATAAAAGAAAAAAAAATAATATGCATTGCACTGTCTTGAATTGGACTATTTTTTTAAAATTTTCTATTAAAAAACATATTTAGTATGCTTATCGATAAAAGCTACTCTCGTTCTGCACTTCAAAAATCTCGTACACATGTGGATAGCCATGACTCATTGCAATGTGATAGAAAATCTCAACTCAGTTATCTTTCGTATCATTCGTATAAATAAAGCTTGGAGCTCTCTTTTATCACTAGAAAAAAAAACCTTAGCTCATTAGATTGAAACTCGGTGAAGATATTTAATCTTCTTTTCATGTCATGACCTTTGTGACACCTTGTATAAAATGTGTATGATCTACTGTCGAATGTAAAAGATTCATTCAAACATAATTTATCATATTGATTAAATTCTAGCAGCAATAATTGTTTCATTGATCCTTGAAAATGACGACATTTGATAATGTTAAACGAATCCAATACTGTTGAGCATTGTGTCAATTCATTCAGATCAGATCCAGTTGTAAAACATGCGAATGTAAGGTTGAATTACGCCTCTGTTTCGATAATAACATATTTTTTCTTTGATACATACTTAATTTATTACACGAGAACAATTCTTATGATCACATGGATAATTATTCTCTTATTCTTTTGATAAAGTACAACGGGCCAAAAATATACACTTCTAGTGATGCGGAAAATCAGGAATGTAGATGTCTGATGCGGGTGTAAGTATAGGCAAGTGTGTGATATAAAGACCGTTAAACCGCCACTCTATC